ACCTGCAAACCCTTCTAATTTCTGTAGCTTGCGCTTAATATCTCCGTAAGCTTGGCTGACAAAGGCGGAGTTTACCATTCGGGAATTATCAGCGTCTTCCGGATTAAAGGGGGTATACAAGCGGTATGCCTCCAATAATCGGTCATAAAAGACACTGGGCGCTTCATCACTTTTCTGAATCACCTCAACTGTCTTCGACATGTTAATAGCTTTCTTCCCTCCGGCTTTCATGCCAGCAATTATAGCATCTCTATAGGCTTTAAGTTGAGCCATATCTGCGCCATTTACATTCCAGTCAGGATCGGTGTTAGGGTAATGTGTTGCGGCCCATGCTGCCGGATTGGCTTGATTTAAAGCACGGGCTCTCTCCTCTAGCGCCTTAATGGCCGCTTGGTTAATCCTTGTCCTTTCCTCATTATTGAACAATGTCATTAATAACTGCTGGCAATCAGCCCATGTCGGGTTATGTGTCTGAACTATCGAGGTGAACAGATCGGTCATAGCTTGTGGTTTCTCAGTGTACGAGGAATTGTGGGTCTTCCAATTCAAGAGATCGGTAGTCGTGAACGGGACATATACGAAGACTGGGTCAGCATGTGCCATTTGACCTGCGGCATCGATATAGGCTGACCCAGGATTCAGACGAAGAGGCATCTGATAATGTTTTAATTGTTGGGTACCGGTCAGTTGTCGGGTTAGTATGGGGCTACGTGGAGGGGCGTCAGTTAAAGGTTCCGGTCGAGAGGTAATAGGGCATGAGGATGTGGGAACTTGATTTTGGGATAAGTTAGTGAATAGTATACTCCGAGCCGAGCTAGAAGAAGCTTGACCGGAAGTTTGAAGTGGCGCCAAATCAGGATATTCAGATCTAATGGGGGTTGGTCCTGGTTCCGGAAGGGGAGTTTTAATACGAGGGGGGGTGGATTCTGTACTGGAGGAGGAAGCGGAAGTGGATGGGGGCAATAGGGGAAGGGGTGCAGAGCTTCCTGCATTCGCGTCACTTCCTCTTAAAGGAAAGTAAGGGGGCGGCAAAGGGATCTCGGACTCAGGGGGCGTGTCCAAAATGGGCCTAACACCAGTCCTAGTGGACAAACAAGTCCTGGCCACCATGAGGCGACATTGCTCCTCGTGGCATATCCGGATCCATTTTGGCGAGTCGTTTACGGCCTGCCCCCAACAATCAATGTATGGAAACTGTCCGTAAAGTTCAGGCCTACCTGATACAGCCACGTGTACACGCTGTACCAGGGTTGGATCCAAACTGCCACGCGGCGGCCATGCCGCAACCAAAATAGGCCACTCCCTAGTGCACAAAGTGACCAAACGTACAGGAGACATTTTAACCCCAAAATCACATGTTTTGAATCCCTTTTTAAAATTCTTTACCATACAACCTAAGGGATCCGAAATCGTTGACTCTGACGCGCCCATACTTATCAATGGAACGTCGTTGACAACGAATACTATGCACGCGTTCTTATTCAACAGTCACACCCGTTTCCTCTGGCAACAGCACCACGTGGTACAGTTACCGAGTGAAACGTACACAATAACACAATAATCACTCAGGGAATTCCCGTACACACACAGCTGTTACACCAGTCACTAAATAATCAATATTATGCCCTTTGGCGAAACTATACAGTCACCCACGCTATAATTCTCTATATATGAATTACCCGTCTATAACACACCCCAGTAACATCGTCTTTTACTAGTATCGGTTACAGTACGGTTAGCATAGGTCAAAGCACAATTTAAGGTCACAATACAATTATTAGTGGTTACGGTGTTAAACATGCAATAGACGACAATGATTAGTATGATACAGCAACACACTATTAACACTCTCGCTAGACGGCTGAGCTCGCGCTATCTAACAAGATATACACTTTACTAACAATCTTTAACACATTTACAATCCCAACTAAACTATTGGCCAGTACCTTGAATGGACTACCTAAAACTATATACACCCGTTTTGGTTAGCCACACTGCCCAAACACCACATATAGCGAACTAGAGGGCGAAATTTACAAAATTGCCCTTCTAGTTTATTTACTCTATCAAAAGTCTAGTGGGTTCCAAATTTACACGCCTTCCCACTTAGCCAAGATAGGTTGAGAGCTAGCGAACCGAATTTACACAGGCGCCGCTTAGTCTCCCGGTCCCTCCGACCTAGCGAACGTAATATACACCCTAGAACGCTAGTCTAGACAAGACACCGGTGTCCGGCTAGGGCTATTTACACAGGACCCCGCCTGACTAACCAGATCAAACGGTCTTACTAAAGAGCGTTCGATCGAGCGGTGCGCCTTCGCTCCTTCCCTCCGACAGAGGGGGCAGATTCCATACACAGATTTAAACCCCTTTTGGGCCTACCGCACAATCGGTATACCCCTAGTGGGTCTGCCGTCTAAAACAGCAGTTGTCTTACCTCCTCGTTCCTGAACCTGAGTTCACACTCATCGACGGGGACACCCCAGCACTTCTTACGTAGAGGCCGATGATCTCCTGGACAACAGACCAGTGGCGCCGAGACGAAGGGAGGTCCACGCAGAAGTTCAGGGGTGCAGCCGTAGAGAACGTGGGCAAAGATAGACCGTCTCACGCCTCTGCCTCTCAGCTACCGTTGAACGATGAGCTTCCCGGCCAATGCACCAAATGATACCGGAGAAACTGACGGAAGCAAAGCACAGAGAGATGGACACAGGTTTCTTCAGGAAGGAAGAGATTCTTTATTGGATCACCGATCGGGACTCAGAGGGACTAATGTCACCAAAAATACAGCAAGTTCTGAGCCCTGAACAATAGTGCAGGCTCCCTATATAGGCACATAACTCCTCCCATATTAAGCTCCACCCGCACATTCTCTTGACCAATCATTACAAATAAGAATTAACTTCCTGCTTGACCGCATGGCTTGTCCAGCACAATGGAGGAGGGGAATACTACATCCTGTATTCTTGCACATGCTCCGTACACTACTGATCGTATCTTGCCTCGTGCAACCAACTGATCGATACGTCAGCATATGCACGTACACATGCCACGTGGTAATCTCAGCCTACTAAATTTATTTTTACCGAGATTCCACCACAGTGCCACTAAATAAACACATATTTTGTGACTTACAAGAGTAACTTTTTTCAGATAAATTTTTTTCCCGTACCTAGTAAATCAATTTGTTAGTGTATAAACATTTTTGCAATCCTGTCAATTTTTAGCACTTTTTATTGCCATGCGTGCACCATTGAAACATATTGGGAGTTTTATACAGACCTCTTAAATTAAATAAAAGTTTAAACAATGTGATCCCATCATATGTCATGGGGCGATAGAGAGGTGTTTTAGAAACAAATCAACTCTTATTTCCTTCGACTACAGCCAGCCATCGGTTAATTGTAGAAATTTGAGTAGAATATAATGAAGCAGTGATGCATCATGTTATGTCAATAACATTTCTTATCAGATTTATCTTTGAGCAATACACTGCTACCTGGATGTTTATAGCTTATGATTTTGTGATAGTTGGGTACAAACCATATAACCAGTGGCGTACTAAAGGGGGGGATGGGGTGCCACTAGGCAGGGTGGTGCCACCAGGGCTGGCCAGGCTTTCTATTCTGTGAGCTTTGTGGCTGCACTGGGCACCATAGCAGCAGGGGCATCGGGCAGCTGACACAACTCACACGCAGGGGCTGGGACTGGGAGCAGGAGACCTGGGGGTGGAGTTGGGGTGGAGCTAGAATGGATGTGAGGGCGGATCCAAGATAGATGCAGGGGCGGAGCTAAATGCAGCCTCTTTCTGATCACACAGAGAGGAAGCAGGAAGGAGTCCCTGCTTCCCCAACTACAGCACAGGAGCCAGAGGGACTGAATCCACTCCTCCTCCAGCCCATGCTTACTGTAAGTGAGAGAGTGTGTGCTGTGTGTAACTGTGATTGTGACTGTCTTTGACTGTGTGTGTAAGTGTGTGACTATCTGACTGTGTGAGTGACTGTCTGCCTGTGATTGTCTGAGTGACTGTGTGTGTGCGTGTGACTGTGTGTGTGTGTGACTGTCTGTCTGTGTGTGTGTGACTGTCTGTGACTGTGTGTGTGACTGTCTGTGTGTGTGTGTGTGTGTGTGTGTGTGTGTGACTGTCTGTCTGCTGTCTGTGATTCTGTGTGTGTGTGTGTGTGTGTGTGCATGACTGTGTGTGTGTGCACGTGACTGTCTGTGACTGTGTGAGTGTGACTTCTGTGACTGTGTGTGCGTGTATGTGTGACTGTAATTGTCTGAGTGACTCTGTGTGTGACTGTCTGTGACTGTGTATGTGTGACTGTCTACCTGTGATTGTCTGAGTGACTCTGTGTGTGTGTGTTTGTGACCGTCTGTCTGCTGTCAGTGATTCTGTGTGTGTGTGTGTGTGTGCGCGTGACTGTCTGTGACTCTGTGTGTATGTGTGACTGTCTGCCTGTAATTGTCTGAGTGACTCTGTGTGTGTGTGACTGTCTGTGTGTGTGTGTGTTTGTATGTATGTATGTGTGACTGTCTGCCTGTGATTGTCTGAGTGACTCTGTGTGTGTGACTGTCTGTGACTGTATGTGTGTGTGACTGTGTGACTGCCTGCCTATGATTGTGTTTGTGTATATCTGTGATTATGTGAGTGATTGTGTGTATCTCTGTGTATGTGTTTAGTAGATAGCTCCCTTATTTGGTGACTGTCTGTGACTGTGTGTGCGACTGTCTGCCTGTGTGTGTGTGTGAGAGACCGTCTGCCTGTGATGGTGTGTGTGTGTGACTGTCTGCCTGTGATTGTGGTTGTGTGTGTGACGGTCTCCCTGTGATTGCGTGTGACTGTGTGTGTATGTGTGACTATCTGCCCTTGTGTGTGTGAGACCGTCTGCCTGTGATGGCGTGTGTGTGTGTGAGACTGCCTGCCTGTGATGGTGTGTGTGTGTGTGTGACTGTCTGCCTGAGATTGTGTGTGACTGTCTGTGACTGTCTGTGTATGTGTGACTATCTGCCTGTGTGTGTGTGTGAGACCATCTGCCTGTGATGGTGTGTGTGTGTGTGACTCTCTGCCTGGGATGTGACTGTCGGCCTGGGATTGTGTGTGTGTGACTGTGTGTATGTGTGACTGTTTGCTTGTGTGACTATCTGCCTGTGATTGCGTGTGTGTGTGACTGTCTGTGACTGTGTGTGTGTATGTGTGAGACTGTCTGCCTGTGACTGCATGTTTGACTGTCTGCCTGGAACAGTGTGTGAGTGACTGTGTGTGGGGCTGTGTGCATCTGACTGTGTCTGATGGTCTTCGCCCTGCAGTGAGACGGCAGCCGGGATATGGTGTCATCGTGGCCTCTGCGTCATTACAGTGCATGCGAGGGGCCTGTGCAGGAAGAGCACAGAGATCCCAGCAGCAACCACTGACCACCAGGGACTGAGGATCCACTCCTGCCCTTCTAGAGCAAGGTAGAGAGGCTGGGTGTGTATGTATGTAATGTTTGTGTGTGTATGTGATTGTGTGTCTGTGATTGTATGTGTGTGGGTTTGTGATTGTGTTTGTGTATATCTGTGATTGTGTGTGTGATTGTGTGTATCTCTGTGTATGTGTTTAGTAGATAGCTCCCTTATTTGGTTTCCTTATTTGCAATCTAATATAAGGATAACAAATAAGGGATTTATCTACTAAACAACTGAAAAAAAGAAAAGGGCTTTTTAAAATTTTGATAATTTAGCTGTTTAGTAGATAATTCCCTGAATTGGTGCCGTATGCGAGATTTCCATATTTAAAGATACCAAATGAGGGTGCTGTTTAGCAAATAGTTCCCTTATGTGGTGTCCTTAAATATGTCAAGTTCACATAAGGATAGCAAATAGGGAAGTTATCTGCTAAACAAAGATCGAAGTTAAGAGGTGTCAGCCAGCCCACAACAAGAAATCTGGGTGGCTAATGTGAATTCTATGCAAATGTGTTGTCAGATGCCAGCATGCAGAGCACAGTGTTTCTGCGTGTGTGTATATGTATCTGCATGTGTGTATGTCCGTGTATGTGATATGTGCAGACATCTCAAAATCTCGCCAACACTACACACAAATACATTCATGCATTTCAACGTCAACACTACATACAAACCCCACCATTATATATAACCACATCACTGCACTCAAATACCACACAACACACAAATGCATGCTTGCATTCAAACACCAACACTACATACAAACACACCCCTACATTTACTCACACATACTCCATACAAAAAAATGCATACATTCACACACAAACACTGCTCAGTGCTAAATACATTAAAAAACATTTTGGTTGTCTTTTACATTTAAAGTTGAGGGGGGGTGCCAAAAATAGGACCCGCCCCAGGTGCCAAATGCTCTAGGTACGTCCCTTCAGGTAACTACAAACCATGGGGCCCCAATGCGAAAATTGCCCTGGGGCCCCCCTCATAGGTCTAACCCTCGCCCCCATACGTTGACTCCCCCCCTCATGGGTATACTTCTCCCCTCCCCCCATACGTCCACCACCCTCCCCTATGTTCACACATGCAGACAAACAGATACACATGCAGATACACACATTGTAGCCCCATGTAGCAAAGGTGCAGCTAAGTGAAAATGGACCTTGACAGAGCTAGGAGGCAGGCATAGGAGGAAGCATTTAGGGATTGGTGGTTTTGAGGGCTAGGGGTTGGGCTATATGATTAGGCAGCCGTCTTAGAAAAATCACTTTTAACTTGCCTGCCTGGCTGAGTTTGTCCGTTCCTCCCTCCCTGGGTTTTGTATGGTTGGGTTGTCCCGTTCTGTCACAGCGGCAGGATAGGGAGCTGAAGGATAGGAAATAGGCTCCCCATTAGGATGGTTATGGAAATGGTGAATATGGTTCTTGGTAAGTTTGGTAAGTTTCTAGCCCTGTCGGTGGCTCAGAACCTGGTGGGGTAGTGGTATCCGGGTATACCCCTACCAGGGCCGGACTGGCCCACCGGCTACCAGAAAATTTCCCGGTGGGCCGCGGCACCTGGGGCCGCATAGCGCTCTGACAGCTTCCCTCCGATTCTGAGGGAATTAGCAGAAACAGAGGGAGCCACTGCGCGCGGTTTCATTTACATCGCACCGCATCAAGTGGGAGTGTGACTCACTCAAAGGGGGTTGGCTGTAGCCGGGATCAACAGTTCCACAGAGCCGAGCTGTCTGGTGTCTGCTTGCCCAGTGCCAACAAGTGCCTAAATATTAAAATGGCCACCACAGTTACACTGGGAGCTGTGACCACCCCCTGAGGCCCTCATCTCACTTTCATGTAAGAGAGGGGTTTGGCGATGCAGCAGGCAGCACTCAAGGAAGAAGATGATCAGGAGGAACTTGGAAGTACAGTCAGAAAATAGATATTGGTGAGTCACTTTTTTTTAAAAAAAATTATTCTTTTTCATCACAAAAAATAGACACACCCAAAAACACAGATATATTTGCATACATAGACTCCTACACAAGTACACAAAGGACAGAAGAATTTAGGGCTCAAATTATATTTTGTCATATGTATCTGTGGATTTCTTAAAATTATGTTTGCTATTCTCCTTAATTTTCTACAGCTGTACAACAGCATACACTCACCATTTCAGTCCTATTACCAAACTGTCCTTAATATGACAAGGTAGTTGGGCTGAAACATTGATTGTATGCAAATAGACATCTGCTTAAAATAAATCTGCACTTTTGTTTATTTTGAAGCCCTATGAGTGCTTCACTCTAGAGTTTTCTATTTTACGTTATCTTTTCCACCTCTCTATCTGTACACTATGCTGGCGAGACCCAGTATTGGGCTGGTATAGAATTTTTTCCAGGACTGCTTTTATTTCCCAGTCCGGCCCTGACCCCTACCATGGTTAATGAAATGTTGGCACTTTTAGTTATGTTCATGTTGGAATACTGTTGTATGTTATTTATATATGGAGTTCGGAAGGCAGTTCAGCAGAAAGGAGTTGCATGGCTTCAATCTTATCTCAGAGACACTCTGGGCACAGCCAGGCCTTCAGCACTTCCAGGGACTTGTCCTATCAAGAGAACCATGCAGCCCCAATGTTTGAGCCCCAGCGAGCAGCCTGGTGGTCGGAGAAGGAAGAGCCTGTCTGGCCGCACTGCCTGGATGTGTTCCCAGGAACAAGGCTGCCCGGAGTCGTTCACGCCACCAATTGGTACAGTCTGTGAAGTCGGAACGTTTGTGCTGCTAACAGGTACCCTGCAAAACTGTCGAACGTTCGGTCCACTGACAGGTACGCATCGGATCTCCTGAACGGGTTGCGGAAACAACCCAACATTCGTTTGGTGCAGCCAGGGCCATGAAATCAGGACATTAGCAAGTGCTTCTAGTTTGGGAATTCAGGGGAACAAGGCGGTGAACAGGAGAAAGGCTCCCCCTTTGACGGTGGACTTGGCAACAGCCGTGGAATATGCTGGGAGTGCTGCTAGGACCAGGGACAAGAAGGACGGTGCAGTAACAACTACGGGTGAGTCGACCACCGACACGCTTGGTCACTTTGTTACTGGCATTAGGAATTCGGTAAGGGGGGGAGCCAGGAGCACAGTGCACAGTGGGGGAGGGGTGGTTGGCAGGATGACGGCTAGTCCCCTGCATTCTAGTGATGCAAGACACCGTTCTGATATCTCGGTAGGGTCACGGGGGAGGAGCGGTTTCCTGATGTGGACCACGCACAACGAGAGAGTCATGCAGAGGGCCAGACCTAGGAGACGCACACTGGGGGCCCCCACTTTGGAGAGACAGTGGGGGACAATCCGATAGAATTTCCCTACGGGTTGGCGGTCATTGTCGCACTCAGGACTCGGACATCAGGTCCTCTTAGGATGCTGATGAGCGGAGCTCTAGACATTGCTCTAGGTGTATTCTTAGGGAACGGGAGCATGGAGACCGCTGGGGGTCACCTGGAGACACTGTGCTCAGGTCCCCCTGTTAGGAGAGATGGTAACTGGCACTGGGGATATCGCTCTCAGTGGTAGTTGATAGAGGGCACAATCCACGGGGGCATGACCTACGGGACAGAAAACTCCTGAAATTATAACCACTCCAATAAGTGGTAAAGGGTATGGTGTGTGAAGAGTGTGTGAAGAGTTACTTCACAAATTGCTGAATATAAAGTTATTGAAAAATTGTAATTCCTAATTGCTGGCGACAGATGTAAACTTTGCATGCAATCGCCATTTTGAGTTCCGTGCTACCACAGTCACGTGTGCCGGGAGTGTTACTAGCCCCTTGCACACAAGTGTAAATATCTCAATATGAGCAGTGTTTCAAGCAGAAACTCTGCACATACTGACTCAGTTATCCATATGTGTTGCTGCAGGTGTCTTTGTTCTTACAGTAGCCACTGCCATGACCACTTCTAAAAACAGAGATTGTCAAGGTGGAAGGATTAGCCCTTTAAGGTTAATGTCTCGAAGAAATCCGGGAAATTAGCTGGCCATGTGAAATCCTCCTGAAATCTAAATCATATTCATGAATCACTACACTGACATCCCAAAACTATGTCTGAATGTAGATGTGTACATTTGCATTCATCTTTTGCATTCTACGTGTTGTGAACCTGCTGTGTCCTCTTACCAACCTATAATAGATACTGAGTAACTTCATTTCCACTTGAAGTTCTAATTATATTGACTTTTCAGTTGTTATAAAATTTAGCCCAACCCAACTGCAAATACAAAAAAAACAAAACCTTTTTTAAAATATTACTATATGTCAAGTAAATATTTGTTAATCATGCACATAGCACTAAAAGTTATGCATTAGCCCAGGTAACGTTTAGTCCTACCTTGTGGTTAAAACAATTAAAAGTGAATCAGCACAGAAAACTGTCACCGTATTGCTAATATGTTGCTAGGGGCAAAGGCTGGTTTTACTGACTGGAAAATAATGCTTAATGCTCTGAGTACTTATTAAACTTCAGTTACTATTCAATGGATTTTGTTTTATTTTCCCCAAGGTAGGCACATTCTCAGATAATGTGATTTAATATCAGTTTAAGGGTTACTCCAAGCACCATGACTATTATTATTATTATCACCATTTATATAGCGCCAACAGATTCCGCAACGCTTTACAATATTATGAGAGGGGGGATTTAACTATAAAAAGGACAATTACAAGAAAACTTACAGGAACGATAGGTTGAAGAGGACCCTGCTCAAATGAGCAGGTTCTAG